TCTACATACCTTTGTGACAGATTACGTCATCACAAGTCTTCGACCGGAACGTTACAAGGTATTCGTAGTTATTGAAGCACAAGTTATTTGTACAAGGAAGATGGTCTTTTCACAGAATGGTACAGCTTTCAAAAGAATGATAAAAAAAGCAAGCTTGGGCAATAATAGGAATAATAGGCAAACATGTACAAACTAAATTTCAAGAGGCAACTTTTATGCAAACGTCTGGCAGTTAATCAGACTGTAAGATGCTATTATCATGAAAGCGATGCCGGTAAAGAGCTGTGCTGATTTTAGAAATTGAGAAATAGATTCCTCTGAAGTGAGTCTTCCTTTCTTAGTATATATGTATCGTTATTTCGCTGTCTTCATATCCCCTTCCTTTCCCCCTCTCTCTCCTCTGTATCTCACTTTCTCAGTCTATCTATTTTCATCGAACTACCTCTTTCCCTCTCTCTTTTTCTCACAGACTCCATCGATCTATATTTATTAACTACCGATCTCCTTCTCTCCCTCCCTCGGCCTCCCCTTCTATCTATTTTCATTTATCTTACTATCTACACCTATTCCTCCCTCACCCTCTCCATCTTCAACCATGTTAACTCTCTCTCTCTCTCTCTCTCTCTCTCTCTCTCTCTCTCTCTCTCTCTCTCTCTCTCTCTCTCTCTCTCACCTACTTTCCATTCCTATTTTTCTATTTCCATCTCTCATTCCTTCTTCCACTCCACCTTTCACCTTTAGAGTCTGTCTGTCTGCCTCTCTTTCCCTACCTCGATCTATCTTTTTTATCTACTTATTTCCCTCTTTCTCTTCCTCTATCTTTCCACTGCTTTTCACCCTTCTTCCTTGTTATTATAGTCTCACGTCACTCTTATACCTAGTCTTTCATCCCGACAGATATTACTTCACTTCTTCCATCTCCATGTTTTATCAATTTCTTCTCTACTTGTATTTATCTCGATTCATTTTTATTTTTGTCGTCTTTTTTGTGTCTCTTCATTTTTTATCTTCCGTGTTCACGATCCCTCGTTTTTCTCATTTTTTTTTCTCATTATTTTTTAGATTCCTTATCTTATCAAGGGGGGGAGTTAGGAGGCTGTCGACCGTACCAAACGACCCGACTGACAACCCGAACAACGACCCGACCGACGACCCGACCGACGACCCGACCGACGACCCGACCGACGACCCGACCGACGACCCAACCGACGACCCGACCGACGACCCGACCAACGACCCGACCGACGACCCGACCGACGACCCGACCGACGACCCGACCAACGACCCGACCAACGTCCCGACCGACGACCCGACCGACGACCCGACCGACGACCCGACCGACGACCCGACCGACGACCCGACCAACGACCCGACCGACGACCCGACCGACGTCCCAACCGACGACCCGACCGACTACCCGACCGACGACCCGACCAACGTCCCGACCGACGACCCGACCGACGACCCGACCAACGTCCCGACCGACGACCCGACCGACGACCCGACCGACGACCCGACCAACGACCCGACCGACGACCCGACCAACGTCCCGATCAACGACCCGACCGACGACCCGACCGACGACCCGACCAACGACCCAACCAACGACCCGACCGACGACCCGACCAACGACCCAACCAACGACCCGACCGACGACCCGACCGACGACCCAACCGTCGACCCGACCGACGACCCGACCGACGACCCGACCAACGACCCGACCGACGACCCGACCGACGACCCAACCAACGACCCGACCGACGACCCGACCGACGACCCAACCGACGACCCGACCGACGACCCGACCAACGTCCCGACCGACGACCCGACCGACGACCCGACCAACGTCCGACCGACGACCGACCGACCCGGACCCACCGACGACCCGACCGACGACCCGACCAACCGACGACCCGACCGACGACCCGACCAACGACCCGACCGACGACCCGACCGACGACCCGACCAACGACCCGACCAACGACCCGACCGACGACCCGACCAACGACCCGACCGACGACCCGACCAACGACCCGACCGACGACCCGACCAACGACCCGACCAACGTCCCGATCAACAACCCGACCGACGACCCAACCAACGACCCGACCGACGACTCGACCAACGACCCGACCGACGACCCGACCAACGACCCAACCAACGACCCGACCGACGAACCGACCAACGACCCAACCAACGACCCGACCGACGACTCGACCAACGACACGACCGACGACCCGACCAACGACCCAACCAACGACCCGACCGACGAACCGACCAACGACCCGACCGACGACCCGACCGACGACCCGACCGACGACCCGACCAACGACCCGACCGACGACCCGACCGACGACCCGACCGACGACCCGACCAACGACCCGACCGACGACCCGACCGACGACCCGACCAACGACCCGACCAACGACCCGACCGACGACCCGACCAACGACCCGACCAACGACCCGACCGACAATATAGTGGAGGGAAGGGGAAGTAA